TCGTCCAAACAGTAACCGTCAAGAAACCGTAGTGCCTTTATCGACACATCCTTGCAGGAGTGGATGTACCTTTGAAGTGAGCTGTTTCCGGCAGTAGGTGTGGCAGGTGTGGTGGGTGTGCTGAATCTGATTGAAAGGTGGGCACAGGTCATATTCTTCCTCGCTTGCTACGCTTGCTGCTTTAGGCCTGAAGTCAAAGTAAAAATTCTCAACTGGGCCAGACAGTCAGTTCAAGAGAAATGGATTGCCTCGGTGGTGCTCCAGTCTCCTTTTGGAAGCGCCTGTAGACCTCGAGCAAGAGCACTTCTGCCTGGCGTCGTGCACAAGGGGAGTTCCTCTTGAACTGATTCTAATTCTATTCTGTGTGATCCCGTCCTGCTCTTCGGGTGGAGATGATCCTGAGAGTGGATTGAGCCAGCGGAATCTGAGGTAGCAAGGTCCACTGTGGATAAGGCCGCTGATCCATGCTCGCATGTGCTCGTACTTGCTAAGAACTTCAAACTCCTGGACAAACTAACTCTGAGAAGACATCGTTGACATCTTTTCTCCGGCCCGATGCCAACCTGTAATCCGTCCTCTGGTGCTGCCTGCAACGACTGCTGCAAAGCTTTGCCAGGCGCTGACTCAGGGAGCAAGGGACCAGGATGGAAGTGCCTCCGCACTCAGTATCAAAAGCAAAAGTTTATCGTTTACATTCTCCGACCTTACATCCCAGATTCAGTTTGACACTTTTGGCCTTTCCCCATGGCCTCAACGCTTCTGAATTTTGTGTCTCCTCAACTTCGAAAGGAATGCAGGCTGCACCATCCTGCTACCAAAAATTTGCATTTGGGACACAACTGCTAGTAGCTGAAGGAATTTCACACTCAATTTGGCTGGCAACACTCTCGGCACTATGGCCAAAGGGGGCATGAGAACCTGCACGAACCGCAAGCCACAAAAAGCATAGCACTCATGAAAAAAGAGTGGATGCCTCATTTCATTCTACCACAGGGTTTCATGAACTTGTGAGAACTTTTGTCTCCATCAACCGGACAGCCGGTCCCAACTTATAGACACTCGTTGTCAAAGTCAGGAAAAGGGTTGTGGATATTTGTGGATTATATATAAACTGACTTTTCTGACATGTTCAAGCGAGGGAGACTTGCAGACTCGAACTAGCAAAACCAGCTTCCGGATCTAGAATAAAGCAAACAATATTAAGCACATGTTTTTGCAGTCTAGTGCAAATGTACACGGAAAGTACAGTAAATATGCTCCAAATATGCTCTCAGGAACACTGGATAAGAATGGTCGGTTTTTTGGTGTCCAAAAGCTGCGTTTGGCACTCTCAGCCAGCGGCCTTTGGTGGGTCTCTGGCCAGCACACCAGAGAGCAGCACACCATTCCGCAGTGGCAATTGGAGGAACTGGGCCAAGAACGGCGCTTGTGTTAAAACCAAAGACATGAAAAAACAATGGCAATTTATAGTAACATAGCCTACAGAGCAGCAGCTATCGGATTTGATATAACGTTGCGCAATGTGCAACATATATATATATATTATATATACACAGTATCTCAAGGTCAAAGCCAAGTCTGCAAGTCGATCTGGGGAACCTCAAGATGGACACAGCAAAGTTTTGTTTACCAGCTTCAAGTGATTCAAGCATCAAGAAAGATTCAAAGGGCCATGTGGCATCGCCTTCTCCACTGGGGAAGCACTCAAAGGACTTTCCTGGCATGACTTACCATACAAACCTTAGTACCATGCACCCACCCTTCCGCGGTTCTTGAGTGTGTCTTGCCAGAATGGCTTGCGTGGCGAGCCAAAAGCTCTCGATGACAGCGGCGCCATTGCATCACCTTTGTTGGGTGGAATCCGGGTTCACTATCATAGTGACTTAGTGATGCTCTTCGGCTTCTATCGCGCAACTATACACAAAAGTGCAGCTGAAATTGCACTGTGGCAAGTTGCTGTGCTTGTCTTTGTCTTTCATGCACAGAACAAGAGAAAATCTTTCAAACTGACCTCCCAAAGGGGTTAAAAGGCTGCTCACGCCAATGGCCTTGACAGGTAAGCCGCAACTCAGCACAAGAGTTGCTTCATGGCCTGCCGCAAAAAGATCAAAACAAAAAAAAAAACACCTTAAGCACAATAAGCACAATCTTAAGCACTTGTTAAAATTGCTTGTTAGTCAACTGGTTCAATCATGCTCAAGCCTGGCCTTTCCAACTGAAGTGCCTCACAGAATGCACTGGAGCCTTGGTCGCAACCAACTCTATACTATAATCATTATGATGATGATGATGGTGGTCAACAAATGTTGAGGGCCAATCCAAAGGGAGCTTTTGCGTCGTTGGGCTCGGCCTTTCGGCATGCAAAGAAGATGCTTCTCCCAGAAAGCAGTTGGAAGGAACTATCAGCCTCTAGGTACTTTGACAAAGGCATCACAGTCCAATAAAAAGGTGTCAAGATGAAGTGAGTCTTTGTCAATGCAAATGAGGATGAAATAGGTTGATACAAAAAGCAGTTGAACCGACAAGTTAAAAGGAACGCAAAGGGGGGCATTCCAAAAGTGGACGAGTTTCACCGACTGCACCAACGGAGGCTTACTATGTTCGTTAGCTTGTCTGGAACTTGAAGAGTTGCTATGATGCGTGCGATGTAGTGAATGACTTCTGCCAAATGAGCAGCTTCGAAAACCCCTATTACTTTTTTGTATAATCCAGGTTTGCTTTCGCAAAGCTTTCGCGGAGCTTTCGCGGCCTGCATTCTGGCTTTCGCGGAAGGTGTGGTGTTATGTGGGGCTTTCGCGGCGGCTTTCGCGGCGATTCGTTTTCGATTGGGAAATTCGATTGGGATATTGTACAATAAAGTGATTGATCTATATAAGTTATCCGATATAAGTGTCCTTAGGGTGGTCAAAACTGAACAAATTTCTTTCCGGCAACATCCTGGCACAAGGAGTTGTAGCAGCACCGTTCAAGTATTATTGTTGTCATCAGAAGAGGAGGAAAACTTGCTGAAACTTTTTGCTGGGGCCAGATACCTTTCCCGGATATTTTCGACTTTCGCGGTTCTTTCGCGAGGCTTTCGCGCGGGTTTCGCGGAAATTCGTCTGGGCTTTTCGATTTTCCCCTGAAACACTTGCTCTTCAGCGCTGCTGCTGCTGCTGGCTGGTGTGCTGCGGCTGGCTGGCTGGCTGGCTGGCTGGCCTGCTGCGGCTGCCTGCATAAAAATATGGTCACCCACATAAACAACACGACATGCACAAGAAATTCGACTTTCGCGAAAGCTTTCGCGACGCTGTTCTTCTGGGGTTCTTTCGCGGGGCTTTCGCGAACCTTTCGCGACCTGCGTTTTGGCTTTCGCGAAAGAATGTGAGATTACAGTTTGCACACTTTCCATCATAGAGGTTTTTGAAGCTGCTCAAATGGATTGAACGTAACAGCGGCGGCTGTGACAGGAAGTTATCTTACGATATCTCAGTCATACCATAACATCATCGATTGACAGCCTCGCTGGATTTCCTGTTCCCCTAATTACATATGTCATCCTCATTGCCATGTCCCCCTTTGCGTTCCTTCTAGCTTGTCAGTTCAACTGCTTTTGGTATCAACATACTTCATCCTCATTTGCATTGGCACAGACTCACCAAATTGTGACACCTTCTTTTTGGACTGTGACAGTTTATTTGACTGAGGAGCAGCTTCAGACTGAACAAGTGCTGCTCAGCAGCACTTGAATAGTAGGTACAGGTTCTACATGTTTCTGCTTAAACCTTGGTGTTTCATCAGTTTGTGGCTACTTAGGGTCTTGTTGTTTCAACATCGTGTTTCGGCATACACTGAGGCAGCTCTATAGGTATCTGGATCTTGTTGAGAGAAGTTAGTGTGCTGATTGATGGAGATTGAGCATGGATACATGCATACAAGTGGAGGTGTGTGTGGGCGCCTCCTCGGTCGGCCTTGTATCCTACACGAAGGACATCGATACATGGGTCGCTGCCCCAATGGGTACATACCGTGTAGACCCATCAGCAGAGGAGGGGAGGACAGAAAGAGAGAGGGTACATGTACAAATAGAGGCTTTGTGTTAAAGTATTGCAGTATCATGCAGTGTCTGTACTGAATCTGTATGTCAATGTATATGTCTAAATGTGCTCTACAAACCTGTGAACTTTCTGCATGTGAGCATTGAAAACAAGCAAGGTCGTACCTTGTAAATATATGCAACTGCAACACTTTCAGCACAAGCTGTAAGTCAGAGTGGACAGCTTCTGCTCCACCTTAAAGTCGCTGGAAAGGCGAGCATGACGTCCATTGCTCAATCTTATGGATTCAAAGCAGTCGACTTTCTCCGTGGATTGGACTGCACGCACTTCATGCAAGTACCGTATCGAGTTACTGGTTCGGCATGTGACGGAGCTACTGAAGGCAAGAACAGTACTAGAGGGGGTGGTAGGAAGAAAATGGAAGAAAGGTACCAACAGTTCATGCATGTCCATGCGTGCTGCCGTGTGTTGGTCTGTGAGTATGTTTGTATGGGTTGTTTCACGCTTGAAAAGTGCGACACCTAAGCTCTACAATTCAAATAAACAAGTCTTGTCTCTGGTGTCAAAGCAACCTCTCCACTTTCTGTATTTGCGACCTCTCCACTTTCGGAACCAAAGCTGAGGTTTACACCTCATGATGCTGGTGAAAGAGCATTATTCAATGAATATATTTCTCCAGTATGTCTGATAGTGGCTCGTCAGCAAATTGGGCTCTTTTTCGACGCACTCACGAAAGGGTCGCTGTAATACATGGACCTGAGCCGCAATGCCCTGGGAAAGCCTCGTTCTTGGACTCTGTGAAAACGAAAGCAAGTACATGTCCATACTATGTGTAGAATCACTGTGGACCCATGTCCCCTTCAAATAAGGATCAGCGAGGATTTCACCAGCACTACGGCACATTGCTCTAGCAGAAATAAGAATTGTGACAATTCAAAAAAAGCCACAGGA